GTTCCTACAGCGCCGAACAGTTGACTAAGCTCCTAGTTGACCACCTCCACCCTAAGTCTTCTTAGATGGCTGAGCTGCTACACACGCCTCAGCAGCTACCCGCGATGCTGCTGGGCCATACTCAAGTGTGCCACCATGCTAAATCTGCTTTCTCTTACGCGATTTTCTCTTAGTTATTACTGCTAATTGCTCTTCAAGCTCTCGCACGCAGGCCTTAATAAGGACGTTTTGGTGCAGCATCTCTTCAGCCCCTTTTACAAGCTTTAAGAACCCCTCTTGTGCTGCACTTGGCGATTGCCAGAAGGAGTCGCTTACAAGCTTGGATTGAGACCCAAACTCGTGTGTATTGCTTAGCGTCTTGGATTGCCACAGCATTTTAGGTAGAGGTACTGCTAGTGGGGTATGCAGCTGCACTTTAAGGCAATCTAACACCACCTGTGCGTTAGTAGGAACAAGCCCTAATGCCTTAAAGGCCTTTTAGTAGTTAACCTTTGTAAATATATTAAGGAACGCGTCCCTAAAGGCTAGTAGGAAGCCTTCCTTGTTAATATAGAAGACGTGTTAGCGTGCTAAGTCTTAAACATGTTAGGAGTACTTACACTTTAACAGCAAGAAATAGACTACGTTAAGTAGCTAGAGGATGTGCAATAAGTAAGGTAGCATGTAGAGAGTAAGGATTTAGTTCTCTAGGTAATAGTCCTTAAACTCCTAGTTAAGATAGCTCTTATAGCTATCTAAGATAAGCAACCTATACACTCCTACCTAACACGTCTTTGTATGCGTGTTAAAGTGCTTTAACTACTTAAGGCTAAGTGCGTTGTTTGTCTAACTGTTCTTAGAGACTAAGAGCTTCTAATTGTGGGGTATATCTATCTCCTTATACCAGGCAGAGATGTGGACGCGTCCTTTGTAGATGATGAAAGGCAGGGTTGCATACCCAGCGGCGCAGATGCTCTGGATAACGGTAACCCACTCGCGATCACCTGGCTGAACAAGCTCTGGCCGAGCACGTCTCTCTGAGCCTGTTACAACCTTTGAAGACGAAGCAACGCCCATCTAGAACCTAGTTTCATTAAAGTTGTGCACGTTGTTGTTGCAAACGCCATAAGTTACTTGACTTAAGTATCCTCCACTAGCTTAAACCACGCGCTGATTATCTCAGGATCTTCCTGTAGTATCCTCTGTCTATCCTTGGCTTGATTGAAGGCCATTTTGAGCTCGTCTGAACGCGTCACAAGCCTGCTAGCCCATAGTTTGCCAACAGGCTCTTCACCACGCACACTAAGTATCTTATCAGCCATATCTGCCACCTCACATAGCTGGGGTGCAAATCCTCGCGAATCAAGGTTAAGTATATACTAGATAATTATCTGCTCCTCTAGTATAGTAAGTTTCTAGCAATTAGCGCGTACGTCTAGTTAAAACGTAATATTGCAAAGGCAATTAGAGACCTGCTAATAAGGTACATTCAACGCTCTAGCAGCGCTGTGGATACTGCGAAATTAGCTAGCGTAGAAGGCCTAGATAGCAAGGATAACTCTGCCTTCTCTAGTAGTATTCTGAAGTTGTTGTTGTTAAGGCATGTTGTGTTGGGGTAAAAGGTGGTCGTGCCAAGAGAAAGTGGCCGGTTCAGTGATATGGCCGGCTCGGTGATAATCTACGTTAAGGGTAGCTATGCAACAACATTGCAACGTCGTTTTAAGTTTGTTGAATATAGGCACTTAGCGTTTTGGCTGTTAGCAACATTGGCGCGAAATTGGGGCTGTTGGGCGCAAATTGGGGCTGTTGGGGCCGTTGAACGGCCGTTGCACGACCATGCCACAACTGTCAGCAACGGCCGGTCTAGGCCGGATTTCGAAAAACTTTTCCCGATGTAAGGATCCTTGCTAGCCTGCCCTGTCTTGCTGCTTGTCTATCTGTAGTAGCTAAAGCCTATACTTTATTAAGTATCTCTTTAATCCTCTTTATAACTAGGTAATTTGTTATTATAACTGCCCTTTAGAGGGTTACTGCCTGTATATATAGGGATAGTAGCATCGTTCTGCTCTCTTTCTTAATTATAGCTACTAGTATTCTCTTATAGGCCCCTAGCGTCTGCCTTAGACACTTATTCTAGACCACTACTAGCTTGCAAATCTTTACCTTGTCTATACCTTTGCATCCCTGCCCTGTTAACTATATCTAGGATCTATATACTATAATTAGACGTGCCACTACTGTGTATACTAATTGTAACTTGCAGACTAATAGGCCCTATAACAATGCTATAATCCTAGACATAGTGTGGAACACTATCTCTCCTTTTATTACTACCTTCTAGATAACGTGTTTCACAAGCGAGCGCCGCACCCAACCGAGCGCCGCACTCTCGCTGCCAGAACGCCGGCGCAACAACAGCGCGTAATGTCTCAACCACAACAAGCTCCTACACTCTATACTAAAGCTGATGTACAGCTTGCTATATCTAATATCCTAAGAAACTAAATTTAAAGTATCTAACGTGCTAAGAAAGTCTACAAAGTGCCTAAACAAACAATCTAATGCTAACACAACAGAACACGCTCTTAACGCAACTGTGAGCTAAATGCAAAGCGCCTTACAAAGCTAGAAGAGGAGGCAGTTGTACTATGTATACTTAAGGAATCTGTGCGTGGCCTACCCTCTTTAAAGGCAGACGTACATGATATGGTAGATAAACTGCTAAGAGAGCGCGGCGCAAAGCCTGTTGGCAAGAACTAGGTTGACAACTTCGTAAATCGTACACTAGAGCTCTAGAAGCGGTGGACCCGCCTATACAATTGCTAGCGGGCTGCCTGCGAGGACCTAGCAGTTATCCAGCCCTAGTTCACGCTTGTTTAGTCTATAAAGGCGAAGTATAGTATTATAGACAAGGATGTGTACAACTTTAATAAGTCTAGCTTCCTAATAGGCAAGATCTTGTTGCAGCTAGTAGTAACAGGCTTAGAGAAGCCTAGGAAGCAGAAGAAGATCTAACCTAGTAATTATAAGTAGGTTACCCTATTATAAGGCGTTAGGTTAACAGGGAAGGTTATCCTACTATTCCTTATCCTTGCAGGTAAGGTTCTTATCTCTAACTAGTTTACTAAGGACCTCCTACAGGACTAGGTTATTAATGTTAGTCCTACTAGCTAGACTAACAATAATCTAGCGCTTACCTAGCTCCACCACTTCAATACACATGCAAAGCTAGTTAGGGTCTACTAGCTACTTATTATTAACAGCCATAAGAGCTACTGCTTAGTGGCTTTCCAAGATCTCTGCAGAGAGAAGAAGATAATCACTCTCTGTATGCCCCCGCACTCGTCGCACCTGTTGCAGCCACTTAACGTTGCCTGCTTCTCGCCACTAAAGCGCCTGTATAGCGACAAGGTTTTGGCCTTAGCACGCAGTTGCATCTACTATATTAACAAGGAAACCTTCCTGCTAGCCTTTAAATCAGCGTTTAGTAAGGCGTTCACTAGAGAGAACGTTCGCGCAGGCTTTAGAGGTGCTAGGCTAGTCCCACACAACCTAGAGGTGGTGTTATTAAAGCTTAATG